GTATAATACAAAAAGAGATTACAATAAAGAAAACATAGCTAAATTCAATCACTGTGTGCAGCGAATTTCTTTCTCAGAGATATATGATACAAACGACCCTAATATAGCTTATAATTCATTTGTCGACACTTTGAAGTTGTTTTATGACTTGTGTTTCCCATTTATACGAGTCAAAATAAACGTAATAAATAAACCAAAATGGGTGTCAAAAGGTGTTAAACTGTGTAGCAAAAAGAAAAGAAAACTTCTGTGGCAATTGAGATTGAACCCCAGCACAGACAATAAAATAAAGTTAGCCAATTATTCTAAGTTATATAAAAAAATTATAAATCTAACACAAAAGGCTCAGAACAACTACCGAATAGAAAAAGCTACAAACAAGGCAAAAACTACGTGGCAAATAATAAATCGAAAGAAATTCAATACTCCCAGACAGTTAATTGATAATATTAAACTTAATGATAATAATATATCAGATACTAAAAAAATTGCCAATACGTTTAACAACTACTTTGTTGACAAAATACAGCCTATAATTAATGGTGGTAGCCAGCATAACCCACAACGTAAGATAGCCACAAGATGTAAGTCGATGTTCATGGCACCAAGTGTACCAGATGATATATTTAAAATAATAATGTCACTGAAAAACACAAACAGCGTGGGTTACGATGGCATCTCCACAAATGTTATTAAATCTGTAGCTAAGAAATTATGTGTACATTTAAGTCATATACTTAATCTCAGTATAGATGCTGGCTTATACCCAGATGCGCTAAAAATTGCTATTGTTAAACCAATATTCAAAAAGGAAAATAGAGAGCTTGTTGAAAATTATAGGCCAGTCTCATTGATTTCGGTTATTTCAAAAGTTTTTGAAAAATATCTTTACAAAGAGCTTTTTAAATATCTTGACAAATTTAATATTCTGTGTGAAGAACAAAAAGGATTTAGACCAAGAAAAACAATAAATATGGCGATTTATGATTTTATAAAGAATGTCATAAGTAATGTCGATAAACAAAACCCAGTCTGCGCCATTTTTTGTGATATGACGCAGGCTTTTGATTATGTCCACCATCCTACACTATTAAAAAAACTAGAAGCTTATGGCATAAGGGGGAATGTCTTAGAACTGTTTCAATCTTATTTGCAAAATAGACGACAAATAACAGAAATTAACAGAATAAATTTACTTAATAAACAGGATGAAATATTCAGATCTGAAGAACGAAAAGTTAGTTTTGGGGTACCGCAGGGGAGTGTGCTGGGTCCCTTGTTGTTTATAATATACATTAATGACTTACCGGATTGGATTGAACAACCAGTGACTTTATTCGCAGATGATAGTACCATGACAATACCTTTAAAAAGCATAGATACATACCAAATTGACATTAATAATTCGTTAAGATTAATTATAAAATGGTTAGAGGATAACAACTTAAGAATAAATTTAAATAAGACAAAAATAATACAATTTAATCAACGCAAGGCAGATATAGACAATCTCAATGTGAAATATGATGATAAGAAAGTTAACGAGGTAGTTAGTACAAAATTTCTAGGGCTTGAAATAGACAAAAAGCTTAGCTGGAAACAACACATTGAGGTACTCTGCAAGAAATTAAGTACATCTGCATATGCTCTATATACCTTGTCAGCTATGGCTAACTTGGACGCATGCCTAACTGCGTATTATGGTATAGTTGAGTGCCATCTGCGATACGGAGTTATCTTTTGGGGCAACTCTACAGAAAAAGAAACTGCATTTAAGGCTCAAAAAAGATGCATTCGGTCTATTTTTAGATTGAAAAGTACAGATAGCTGCGTGCCATATTTTAAGCAATATAAACTGTTGACTCTACCATGTTTGTATATTTTGGAAATGGCAGTGTTTGTAAAATTAAACTCGGGGCGCTTCGCACGAATGGCTGACGTATTTCCGCGAAATAGGCGTGATAATAGTAGTCTATGTGTCCCCAGGGCTAAAACAGCTCTGATGCGCAAGGGAGTTTGCTGCATGGCACCGGTAATATATAATAAAATACCAAGCTGTTGGAAGGAATATAATGTGTCATTATTTAAAAAAAGACTGAGGAATTTTTTACTCGACAAAGTTTATTATAGTATTGCAGATTTTTTATTGGAGAAAGAAATTGTTTGACCGTTTTATATTTTTTTTTTTTTTAATCATTATTAGAAATTGTGACATTAATTATATTGTTGACTGATAAATTATTGGAATTATTTATAAATTGAATGACATTATTTAGAATTATTGTCTTGAATTGTAAAATGTGTAAAACTTTTGCATGCCTTATAATTGGCAAAATATGGCTGTTTCTGTATTTTTTATTATGCACTACCATGATATGTACCCATATTTGCGAAATAAAATATCTTTATCTTTATCTTTATCTTTATCTTTACAATGTAAACTTAGTTGCCGGACGAGTTTAGCAGACCCATCTTACGCTTAACTGTTTTGTGGTTATTTTAATGCCAGTTTTAAACGAATATTTTGTTTTATAACACTGGGAATATTTATACACTTCTTATTGAAATAAATAATTAAAACTAAAAAAAATTAATACTTTATTTTGTTAAACATATATTTAGAAATATACACATAAAATACATAATTACATACTTTAATCCAGTTTTAAACATCTGAGCCAGTCTACCAAAAGAATCACCACACGCAGAACAAAGGTCATTCACCATAAACGCGCCAAACAGACAAGCTTGACACGCAATCATTCAAAGCGCTACCATTAAAAATTCCTGCACATATACAAAAGAACAATAAACGCAAATGACGTAAAATATTCAAATATGAGACGTCTGAATATTTCAAACAATGTTAGAAGATCGTGACTCGAGTAAGTAACTGAAAAACTACTTAACGAGTAAATTAAACTAAAGGCTCTCTCCACGATAATGGTTTTTGCTTGAAACTGGAGTCTTGCATAATAAAGTCCGGTAAGACTAAGTTACTTAATGTTTCCACTCAACTGAATGTTAAGAAAGGTTAAGTTGTATCAAAGAATTTTGTAAATAAACTCTTTTGAAGTTTGCGAAATATGAGGGCATTTGTGGAGCGGATAGCTGGGCAATTTGTGGAGTGTTTTTGGTTTAGCTTTATGTATTTTTCTTATCTTTTTACGGCTTGTTGGTTATCTTATTGAACCTATACTATTGAAACCTTAGTTATTAGAAGGTCATTGCAAATATACTCTCAAAAATATCGTCATCATTGAGCCGTTTCTGATGCTAGACACAACCATGATGCATCTAACTGCTCAGTCCCCAAGCGGTCATCGATGCCCACTCTCTAATTACTCCATTATATACCTGATTTCCGATGATTAGAGACTACTTTTGTATAAATAAATGTTGTGAATTTATCATAATTGGGGATTAAGATCGGTTCGTACTACTGAATTATCATAATAAACATTGAACTTAGCTAACGGTAATCTCCATCCGAATCCATCATTAGTATTGAATATACCTCTAAGTTTATTTTTTAATGTACTAGCAACAACACATGCACAAGTGCTTATAAACGCACCCCCCACGTCATAGGTCAAAATCCTAGAGTGGGACTAACGCTTTATAAAAAAGAGAACATCGACTCCCTTGTACGTTCAGGTCGACCAGTTGAAAATGACCTGCATCAAATATACCCTCACTTTTATTTATGCATACATAACCTCACGCCTGTCTCTCATGAGGGTAAGCAGAGACTATGGAAAGCCAATTGCTACGATTCTTACACATCTTGGATACTCTTTTGCTTCATCAACAGAATTTCAGTCAGTTGATTAAAGGTACTTTTAATTTGAACCTTCTTTAATATATCGCCAATCTATTTGACGTAACTTTTACCTTAACATTTTACTAATAAATGCAACAAACTCTACAATTAACTAAAAATCGCGGGTTACTCAGGTGAAAATATTGAAAAAAACTCTACTAGTTTCGAACCACAGAGGGATTCTTCCTCATGAGCAGCGTGCGCAGTCGCGGCGATGTGGCGAATTTTCTCAGTAGGTATTTTGACGTGAGTTACCCGCGATTTTTAGTTAATTTAATATGTCTCACGATAGTAGTTATAATAAACACAAACTTCACGTTATTTTAACCCAGTACGCTGTAATCAATTCCCGGTAGTAGTAGAACTAACATTGTAACTAACTTTGCCTGTAGTTCGAGGGAACACCTACATAGTTTTATTCGTATAACTTTAGACACTGGAGACAAAAGAGTATGATACTCCATATCACGTATAAAGTAACTTCTCCTGTACTAGTAGGTCACATATATTTTCTAAGTTCTATGTGTTTTTTAAGACAATTTGCCTGTAACTAAACTCGAAAGTATATCGCGACTTTTTTTTTTAAGGGATGAATATCATTGAATGACTGCTCCCGCCTGTGTGAGGCGGGAGGGAGTGTCAGACTCTTACTGACTTAAAAACAACCCCGTTCCTTCTCCTGCACGTCGAGCCGGAGCCCCGGTTACCCGTTAGGTTCTCATATCGCGACTAGGCTAACATTTCAAGTATGTATTTTATTTTGGATTCTTCACAGAATTAGAAGAATACATTACTGTATAGTTTTTGAAGTATTTCTTATTTTTGTATAAGTATTAAAAGAGGAAATGGTAAAAACTTGTAAGGATTTTTAAACACGATCCTATATCTATCTATACAGGTAAATAAAGTTGGAGTGTCTGTCTGTATTATTAAAATACCCGCTTTATACGACATGCATATGAATATACATACAATACACATACCAAAATAACGTTTTTTTTTGCAAGACTTTTGTTTGCAGGTATCTGATATACTAAGGAGTAGCATCGTCAATTTTAATAAAAAAAAAAAAATAATTCAAAGCATTGATGTTCTAAAATTCATTTTCTACGCGGACGAAGTTGCGGGCAACTAGTATGTAAATAAAATACCAATGCGTGTTAAAATACAACTATACCTTTCAAACAAATCTTGTTCCTTTTGAATATCAACCGCACATCTTTATGCGCTCGATCGGGTGCCGATATGTTGAGCTGCATAGTCACTAGGATCTCTGCGCTCCTGGTACCGGTGCACGGCAAACGGACCCTGGGGATTGAAGAACCAAATTAGTTTTTGTCTTATACATAAAAAAATCAAAATAATTGTAAAAGACTGCCTCGTTAATCGAATGGTCGCAAGCGCGATTACCGAGCAAGTTGTCACGGCTTCGGTTCTTAAATCAAGCAAAATATTATTAAGAGTTTCCCGTTAGTGTAGTTAGGTAAGTGTTATAATATAATTATTCTCAGGAACCCCTTTTTTACCTACCGCTAAGATAAATTTCCAATTGAAAGACAATTTTTTGTAGATATTCAATATCTATTTTTAACATTACTTATTTAAAAATATGTATACCTATGTTCTCGGATTTAATATTTTATTTGCATTAAAGCCTACTCTGATTAAATCGATTACCTAGAATAAAGTGAGCTCTGGCAAAGACCGCGTGGGTTGTGCTATTTATACAAGAGCACCGATCAGGCTTGTGACTAGCTCGACTGTCATAAATGAAAATATGGCTAGGTCTTTACTGTTCATCCTCGAAACGAGAAATTCCAAATAAGTATATTTTTAAATTAACAGCCCCATCATCATCATCATCAACAGTCTATAAATGCCCACTGCTGAGCAAAGCCTCTTCTCACACGGAGAAAGTTTGAGCATTAACCACCACGCTTGCTCATTACGGGTTGGCGATTTTAAACATATAATTAGAAATTATAAGCCCAGGTTTCCTCACGATGTTGTCCTTCACCGTTTGTCAGTGGTGTTTGAATAATCTTAGAAAGTACATATAACTCGGAAAAATTCACATTGGTACTTTTTGTTGGTAGGTTTCAAACCTGCACCCTCATATAATTATGACAAGTGGGCGTCTTTAACCTCCGGGTCACCACGACACCTAAATAAATAGTCTACAAAGAATAAAACTAAGAAAACTAAATCAATTCTATTCCAACATATTTCGTTTCACTTCAGTAACTTTGTAGGTTGACTCACAAGCCATTATTCAATGAACGGGGCTCTTTGTCCATAATATCAATAAAGCCCCATAATTTACATTGACTCATCCTTATTATAATTGGTAATGAGTATGATTCAGCATCTTTATATTGAACTATGTTGTTTCTAACGTATCTATAGCCTTCGGTCTTTAGTATTAAAGTCAAGATCAAAAACCAATTGCTTAAGTTAAAAAAAAAAATTATAAATTAGTCAGAGAAACACAATCAAAATATAGCGTAAAAAAAAAAAAACATATTAGATATCAACTTTTGAAATTGGCGCAGTGGCAGTTCGCCACAGGTAATAAACGCGACTATCACAAAAATTATCACGACTAAAATACTTTATGTCTGTTAGAAAAATAACATCTAAACTCCAGGACAGTCAATTACTGAATTATTATGGGCATCCTCTACATAAGAGAGAACTTGCACCCTTGCAGTAACCTCCACGCTTGCTGGATATCGCATAAATCAATTTAATTACATACATACATAACCTCACAACTCTCTCCCACGGGGGCAGGCAACAACTATTTAATTATTGTTAAAACATATCAAGAAATACCTGTCTATTTGTAAACCAATCTAAAATCAATTCTAAGTACTAAACTTACCTAAAAGTCTGCAGGGTGGTAGGCACAAACCCCCGTTCAGATATATTGACTTGCGGCGGCAGCATGGCGCCCCGGGACTCGTAGTCTACACCCATCACGTACGGCAGCTACGGAGAAACGACACCATAAACATTACGTGACATATAGAGGAGGTACCTAGTAGGGACACATAGGTTTATTGAAACCAAGGTTTTGTAAATGATGCACAACAGAAATGTTTACGAAAAAACTCAATATAACTAAAACCTGGACCTTTTTTGTTTTTTATATTTGATGGAGCGACGTTTGACCACTATCTCGCCTGGTAGTAAGCGATGATGCGTTCTACGATGGATCACGTCGTCCTATAAGCAACCTATTTACTCGGGTTTTGAAGACTCCCAGGTTATACCCTTCAGGAAAGGGATTTAAAAAAATCAAGACATCATACACAGTATGCAGTTGTTTCATGATTGTGCATACTAAGCATGACTGAAAATAATAGTCTTGCAAACGGGTCTATATACTTTAATTAACTGAAATGTCTCAAAGATATTTAATTACATAACATAACATCACGCCTTTTATCCCCGAAGGGGTAGGCAGAGGTGCACACAGAGATAACACCCGCTTTTTCACTAATTATGTTAGGAGACCCATATAATAGGTGGTGAGCCATATACCGGGCACAATTCCAGACTCCGTGCTACAACTGAGATTTTTTGCCCGATAGTCGCACTTGTGACCACTCGGCCAACGAGGCAGTCAATATTTAATTTATCAGAGTAATTGTCTTCTGCCAACTACCAACAGTACCAACTCATCAGGGAACTTAGAAATATTTCTGTGGTAAGCCTGCTCTTTAGATGGAGCCGCGGAAGACTTATCGGGTTGCCGGGGCTCCAGCTCGAAGTGCAGGAGTAGGAACGGGGTGGTTTTTAGTCAGTAAGAGTCTGACACTCCCTCCCTACCGCCTCACTCGGGTGGGAGAAGTCATTGGATGATTTTCCCCCTCAAAAAGTCTGTCTTAGATCTACACAAAACCAATTATATCTAAAACCTAGCCTAAGAAACAATTACTTTATCTATTCCAACGATAAAAACAAATTGATATTCCATTATATATTTGTATTCTGTCTCTAACCTCGTAATAATCTTCAGTATTCCAGCAAAAATATTGGAATTTTAACCTTCGTCTTATCTCAATAAGGTTGAGAGCAATTCGTTCTCATTTGTGCCTTTTATTTGCGATGAGTCAGTGCAGCCGTGACCTCTAGCCATTGACACCAATCGATTTTAATGTTTATTAATAATAAGTTAGAGTGTATATTGGCTGTTTAACGTACGTGCTGCATTAAGAATGAAGCGTGCTGAACGTTCTTGGAAAAGAAAAGGTGAACTTTTAAATAGAATATTGTTACGTGAAGACGCGATTAGTATCGAAAGAAACAGTGAGTTATACTATTTCTGGAGATCAGCAGTAAATGTAAAATTGTTATATACTTTTGTCAGGTGTGCTAATGATAATTTTAAACCGAAATTCTATCAAAAGCAGTACTTACCAATACAAGCTTATTTCAGTTAAAAATATTTAATCCCTATTTACTTTTCTAGACGCCGAAATCGAATTTCAATTAACAAATTGTTATTAAAAATGCTTTCAACAAAACTTTGAACAAGCGATGTAATCTTAGAAATTTTCTTCTAAGACGAACAAAGAACTTCATTAAAACGGTAATGTTTACTGCACTTTTGTACCTACATAGACGGCGAACGGTCATTCTACTCTTATCCGTTAAATACTAGGAACAGCGAAAAATGACGTCATAATCCGGTCCCTTTGTTTTCGAAAATTAAATCGCTTTCAAACCAAATTGGAAAATGCTGAATGCTCCACGCTCGATATCGAACGAAACGTTTGCTCAATGGAATACAAAATTTAATAAACAAGTTTGAAAATAAAATTATTCGCCGTCCAGTCTCTTGTGCCGAAGAATAAATTGTAATTGAAACGATTAATCAATTTATTGTAAATAGTTTAATAGGTTTTATTAAATGTGAAAGAGAATCGAATTTAATTATTGATTGTGATGATAATGGTGTTTTAAACTTTTTGCATGTTGTGTACCTTATTAATCTGAACTTATTTGCGTTTCGTGTTCACAGAAAAGTATTGGTTTATGACAGTTTTGTTTCTTTAATACAATAAGTAGTATGTATGTACAGTCAATATCTTTTTATAAGCCTAGTAGGCACATTTCTTAGATAAGACCAAAAATGCACAAACTTTTAGCACCAAAATCGCAAAAGCTTATTAACAAATTACCTACTTATATACTTCTAAATGCAGTTTATGATAAACATTTTGTTTTTATATTATATCGTGACACATACTAAATTAACAAAAAATCGCGGTGAAAATACTGATAAAAGCTCTACTAGTTTCGAACCACAAAGGGGGTCTTCCTCATGAGTAATGACCCTTCTGAGGAGCCCGCGATTTTTAGTCGATAAATATTTTCTTAGAAATATTATCAAGAGATCAAAAGTCCTGTATACCACTAAAAACTAGATACAAGTTAGCTTCTATATAATCTTACCGGCCTCCCGCCTAGTGCTTGCCACATGAACTCCAAGTCTGCAATGTGTGCTGGTACGGGCACTGTGAAGCCGGTCGCGTATTTATTTACTACGCCTTCTCTCACGTAGTAGAGTTCGGCGTCTAGACCTGAAACAATGTATATATTTATGAGAAGCTGGCTGAGTGTAGGCTCTGTACCTGGAGAGGTATTTGATCTTTTTCCGTTTGGTGAAAAATTGCATGTGAGACAATAATAAATGTAATGATTTTATAAATATGATTGTATTTCATCTATCGGCACGTCACTATGGCCATCAACCATATAGGCAGCGTATTGGTATCGGATCTTCGGCCGCGCGAGTGTCGCGCTTCTTCGCTCAGCCCAAGAACGCGCCAGCTTTCGGGTATTTTTTTTGTGTCGGCAACAGTCAAATCAATCTTAATTGTCGTTTAAGTAAATATTCGTATGTATTAATTACACAGTCCTCAGTTTACTTTACAACCCGACAGAGCCTTGACACACCTTTAAACCAATTAAATATTATAGGAAAAGCAAGTGACTGCACGGTTGGTGCACTGGCTGCCAAACAACGTGTCGTGGGTACGATTCCCGCGCAGAACAACTTTTTTTGTGACCACCCATAGATTGTTGTCTCAGGTCTGCGTGTCATGTGTACTTATGTGAAATTCTATGTTTATAAACTCACCCACGATACGTGAAAATATCCTATAGTGAGGGAACGTTTTTTCTAAAAAAAATGGAGAATTTAAATCAAAAAAACATGATGATGATCTCGTAATCACTCGTCTCAAGTCTTTCTTTTTTTATATTTGATATGGCGACGTTTGACCACTATCTCGCCTGGTGGTAAGCGATGATGCGGCCTTTCATTTATGTTTAATAATCATATCAACATAGCAACTACCTAACATAAGAAATCCAACAATTTTAAACCGAGAAAATAAAGAACAATTTGCGAAAACACAAAAAGACATTTCAACAAAAGAAAATTCGTTATAATAACATAGAAAATTACTCTACCCTCATGAAAATTTCAATCGCGTCGCAAAGAAAACTAAAATCATATTATTCTAATTTGAAGTGCATTACGGACGATTGCACGGTACATGGGAGAGTGGTACCCTCTAACAGATGCAGGTTCAGTTCCCGGGGGATGTCGCGTCAAATTATCCAACTAACTCTATTTGCTTAGTCGAAAAGAAGTGGTAGTATAGTGTGAAGGAGTAGTTTTGATACTTTTTGTGTTTCATTGTTGATATTATATTTTGTTTTTTATACATATCTCATGCTAAAGTCTAGTTTACTCTGATCTTTGGAGAGTTTTGCTCAAAAATCAAAATTTTATCAAAAATCTGGCATGTGTTTGTTTTAAGTTCATATTTATATTATTTGACCATAGAGAAATAAAAAAAAAATGTGTGATGATCTCTCGAAATCCATCTAAGTAGATTTTTGATGTTTTCTCCCTCCCCTTAGGTTTTCTATAATATGAATTGTGCGTTTTCGTTGAATGAAGTTAAAAATACAGTAAACTTAGGGACTGTTTCACAATATCTGGATAGCCGTTATCTACAAGATAAATTTGAATTAAAAACGTAAGTTGTATGAACTATCTGTCACATAAATTTATCAGGTACCTACTTATATAGAGGTGGTGAAACTGGCGCTTAATATAATAATTGCAAATCCAGAATATCAAATTAAAAGTTTTCAACTTTACCAATCAATGTTCACATAAATCCCCGAAACCAATAAACTTCAATATCCGTGTGATCGTGCATGATAATAAAACCCACTCCAAGTTAATGGCTACTCATACAAAACACTCGACCAAACGACGATATTAATCGCTTTAAAACGGAAAAAAATCACATGATCCAATCAGCGTACATTTTGGAGGCGCAAAGCGACAGTGAAACGGACCGAATATGAAGTGGCACTTTGCACAATTGATGAATCACCACCCCTGTGCGAGAACGAGTGCAAAATATTCGTAATACCTACGCTACGCTGCTACCCCACTTACTTTGTACACCCTGTATCCATTCGGTACACAAAAGATGAATACACCCTGTATATTGCCCAGATGCAAGTCTATCGGCGTTATTCAGCTCGAATTTGTGGAGCGTCTTCAAAGAAAGTGTTTTGATGAATTTTGGTAAAGTATAGGTACTGAAGATGTATAATAGAATTTTCACATCTGGTTAGATAATACAAGTGTGTTTTAAATCAATATTACTTAAAAAAAACTCAGTTTTAGATTGGTTACAAATTTTTAGGCTTTTTTTTTTTAAGGGGGGAAAATCATCGAATGACTGCCCCCGCCTGGGTGAGGCGGGAGGGAGTGTCAGACTCTTACTGACTAAAAACCACCCCGTTCCTTCTCCTGCACGTCGAGCCGGAGCCCCGGTTACCCGTTAGGTTCTCCGCGACTCCGAATCGGCATCCGCCCTATTGGGCCCCATCTGTGGTGGTCTGATGGCTCTTTGAGGCGCGCGCGGAACGCGACGCGCCGTACGCTCGGGTCTGTTTCTGGTCGGACGGGGAGCCACCCATGCTCGCCGTCCGCAGGCCCGCGCTTACGGTGGCCGGAGATCGTCCCGCGATCCCCGACGCCCGGTGTGTCCTTCGCGATGGCTGGGTTGCGAGGAGGCAGCGCTTCGCTGCCTCACGCGTCCCGCCTCCTCCTTAGCTAGCATGACTGCTTCGCAAAAGGAGGAGACGGCATCCCAATCCCCCTCGCTCCGCATCATGGCCTGCACTAGGCCCGGACGCGAGAGGTCGCCATCGCCGATCACTTCCCTGAGGACACGGCGGTGCTCAGCCCACGAAGGGCATTCTCCCACCGTGTGTTCCACCGTGTCCTCAGGGCGGTCCTCGCAGTGATGACACCCGGGCGTTTCCTCCCGCCCCATCAGACACAGGTACCTCCCGAAACTGCCATGTCCGGTGAGGACCTGCGTCAGGCGGTAGGTGAGGACGCCGTAGCGTCTCTCAAGCCACTCCTCAAAGAGGGGACTTACCGCTGCGATGGCAGCGAGCCCAAAATTTTTAGGCTACGATGGGCCTGACATACGCCGTGCGGTATAAAAGTCCCTAAAATTAAAAAGGGAATAAAAAAGAAAAACAAAAAAAAAATATACAAAAAATTGTAAGTTTAATAAGGACGTGAAAATCTGAATTTAAGAAAAACATTAAAAACTCTAGCATTAAATAAAACTCCTCAAAAACACTTGATAAATCATTCGACTAAAATCTCCTAAAACCACCAAATTAAAACACAAAGCCACCACTAATTAAAACACATAATTACTACAACAAACAACATTACCCAAGACAGTAGCGTAGTATATTAAAATATTCAGAATCTAATTCACACATTCGCAAAGGTCTCCTTTGAGGTGGTCATGTTGTCACGTTCATAATTTAAACGCAGTATACACTAATGATAGACTATACTATGGGAGCACGGCTATGCCTTTGTATTAATTACTCAAACGATAATGTGCTGAGCTACAATAAGGACAGGCTAATGACAGGTTAATGATTATATAATTATATATTAAACTGGAAATTATATAGAATAGACGCGCGTCTTGAGTTAATGGTCGTGAAGAAAAATTATAGAAGTTGAGTCATAATTTTCTTTGGGCCTTTTGTGTTTTATTAATTTACTAACTGCGACTTTGTCCGCGTATAAGATGAATTTTAGGATATAACATTTTTGTTTCAATTTTCCAAAATAAAAATAGCTAAAATTACTGCTAATAAAAGTCTCGTCGAAATCGGTTCAGCCATTTTAGAGATTAGCCAGTTCAAACAGACTGACAGACAGACAGGCAAAAATTGAAAAAACATATATTTTGGTATGTGTATTCTAGTAGTAAAAACTCCAATTTTATTTATCTGTAAGATGTATAGACGATAAATAGTCTATTTTCACACACTGATATTTTTAACAAAGAATATATAAATGTTATATTGTATGAATTTGTTTCTACTAATATTTCCTGACAGTAATCAAGTATTATAAATTTATATTATCTATTTAGGTTTAAAAAATCAAGATCATACTGTTGTGTAGGTACATACATAGTGCTGTTTCTTCCTATTAAAAACAGTAAAATGTTTTCTTAACTACTTGTAATAAACAATGAATTAAAAATAACTTCTACAAATATTCTCAAGAATAAAAATACAATTGAATACAATGTCGTAAATACAGAGATAGCCTTTTGTGTTAATTTATTCAGATAGAAACAGACAAAGCTGGTTTTAATGAACCAGAGAACAGAAGCAAGAAAACAAGAGGACTTGTTGCTTCAAATAATAAAATAAAACTGTGGTTTGAAATTAAAAGATATGCTTTGTAACGTGCTGTAGAAACGTAGTATAACTAGAGGTAGTTATGGCTCTGTTATTTTAATAAATGGCTTATTTTCTTCGTGGTTTCGTTTTTTATGGGATAAGCCGGTAAACGAGCAGACGGATCACTTGATGGTAAGCAATCGGCGCCGCCCATGGACACTGAAACATCTAAGGCGTTACAAGTTCGTTACCGGCCTTTTGAGAATTGGGAATTTAAAGATTGTGGGGGATTCGGGGATTACTGAAAACTGGGGAGGTAATTGGGCCTCTGGTAACCTCATTCACACGTCGAAACAACGCAAGCGTTGTTTCACGTCGGTTTTCGGTTATGCCGTGGTATCGCTCCTGTCGAGCCTGCCCACTAGGGCCGCAGCATGGCTATCCCAAACTTGAACACGTAATTGTGTTTTTTCGGTACTTTTTGAAGAGTTTAAGAATATTTAGCTATTTAATGAAAGTATTATTGTGTTTTTAAAAGCATCAACAACCCAATAAAAAAATTGCATAGTGCTACCTTTCCACTAGAAATGTTATTCATTTTTAGCCACCTCTCAGAAAAATGAGAATAAGAATACATCTCAGAGCTTAAAACCATTTGACAAAAAATCTTCATATTAATATAGAGAAAACAGTAATTATCAAATAATTTCTCTCTGTTTAATAATCAAAAGCGTTAGTAGGAAACGGGAGAAAATAAAATACTTGGAATTACACGTTTTAATGGTAGACAATACGTGAGAGCCTTGCAGCTATGTCT